GGGAGGCTGCGGCAGGAGAATCGCCTGAACCTGGGAGGTGGAGGCTGCAGTGAGCCGAGAGATCGTGCCATTGCACTCCAGCGTCTGCAACAAGAGCAAAACTCCATCTCCAAAAAAAAAAAAAATTAACATGCCTAGTAAATGACCAGGATTCAAGAAGTTTACTGTCTTGTGTGGTGTGTGTGTGTGCGTGTGGTGGGGGTGGGGAGGAGGGTACATAAGTAATGTACACAATTATAGAAAACAATAATAGGATTTATTGAGCATCCACAGTGCACCCACGCTTCTCAGTACATTTATTTATGTAGTCTCATATTATCTGATCTTTTTGGCTTCCTTATTAGTTACGTATTATTATTCCATTTATTCAAAGGGGGCATCAAGACACAGGTTAAGTAACTTGCTTTAAGTCACACAAAAGTAAGTTTGACTTTAGAGCCCATAATGAAAATCATAACATTATTATGCCTCCCAAAAGAGTAGCTAACATTTATTGAACCTTTGGTGCATATATAATAGGCACAGGACTAAGCACCTGATATGCAATGATCTCATTTAATCCTCAAAATGGGCCCATGTCCTAGCCCAGGTTTCTTGCAATACTGAGCCTGAAGCAAGACTTATGTGCAAATGCTTCACTGGGAGGTGCAATCCCAGGGCACTGAGAGTCAGGGAAAGACACAGGAAGCACCCAGCCCACTGGATTCAGTGCCCAAGGTGGAGGCAAGGACTGAACAAATGCCAGGAACCTGAATATAGATGCAGCGCGGAGGATCTGAGGCATCTTGTAAGAGACATCTGATAAAGCCCACGAGAAAGGTACTATTATTATCACTACCATTTTATAAATAAAAAAATGGGGAGTTTCTTTTCACTGAGAATGAAAATATAAAATCAATCAGTGAGTCAGAGCATGAAAATGCTATACTACCTAAAGAAATCAGAATGGCCCCCAGACAGTTAGACTGGAGTATGTCTGAATATCCTGACATATCCAAAGAAAGACATTTTCCACCAGAAGGAGAGCTGGTCTCCTTGACCCATGGAAGGATACAAAACAAAGAATCCCAAAGCTGAAAGCTAACTGCCTGTATCTGAGCCTTCTCGTGGCTTCACGCATTGGAATTGGGACACTGCCATTCCTATGATGGCTATTTTATGGGGAGGAGGAGGATATAAGGGGTTGCATCAAACCATACTTATGGTGAGATGGATTTGCGAGGGAGGCATGTGATTATTCCAATATCCACCTTTTCTCATTAAATGCTTACTAAACAGCTCTCTAATAAACAGGTTGCTTGACTCCAGCCTTATGAGTGCCGTGGCTAAATGTGTCACATTCCCCACTGTGTTCCAAGCATGTTACACGGTACTCAGCACACAGTAGACACTCATAAATGGGAACTGAATAGATAATGAACTGATCATCTTGTCCATGTAATGGTTACAATTCTCATTGTATTATGTCAAACCATATGAAATTGCCACTTTTGGTGAGTCAATGATGATATTAAATGGTTCAGCCTAATAAACTGATTTTGTCATTCTGGCGCAAGGTGTGAGCCACTCTCTTATGACCTGACCCTCTGGGAACAGATGAGCAAAGTCTTTTAGATGACACTGCTTCACCAATCTCAATTTCATTTAGTAGTGACTGTTTCCTTCACAATGGGTGAGATCTATAAGAAAGCAACAAACAGAAGCTAGAGAAAACAGAGCCGGCTGCTGTTTAGTAGAAGAAATTTCAAGGATGAAGTAGCATCAAACGGAAGCTTTGAGAATATGTGGGAATGTTGACAATCAGAGACAGTGAGTTGAGGGGTGGTCAAGATTTACAAATGGCAAAGTCAAAATCAGAGGGAGGAAGAGACATGGCACAATTCAGGTAATTATAAATGATCAAATGTGGGAGGGGACAGGGTCTGTAGGGGAAAGCAATGAGAAAAAATTGGAAGGCTGTCTAGGGCCAGATTATAGACAGCCTCAAATGTCAATTAGAAGCATTAGCAAATGAAGACCTTAAAGGGCCGGGAGATGATCAGAAATACAGTTTAGCTCTACGCAAAGTGAACTGCAGAACAGAAGAGGAGCCAGCTATACAGCACTTGTGAGAATCTTTACAGGGAGATGCCAAACAAAATTAAGGTGAAAATGTCCTTTTTAAAGTGAATGGGAGAAAGAACCACCATTTTGATTGACATAGCTCAATTGAGATTAACCTCATGCATCCCCACCACCATCAGCTTTATCTTCATCCTTGTCATTTAGGGAAAGACAACTATTGCCAGCAGCAGGCTTTATTTCATCCCAACAGCAACCCTACAAGGTATGTATTATTATTTCTATTTTGTAGATGAGGAAACTGAGGCTCATAGAGGTTAAGTATACACACAAGGTCACAAAGCCACAAAAGAGTTGGTATTAAGACCCAGGTTTCCCTGATTTGAAAGCCTATTGCTGTCAAAGCTAAGAATATTCTGAAAAAAGTACAGTTTTAGAATAATCCTGGAACAGGGAGAAAATATCTAGGGACAAGACCTAAAATGTCCCGTGGAGAAACAGATTCCACAGTGGCTTCATACATGGGTCCCCTTTGAGTCTTACCTTGCTCTCTCCTTCAATGACGATGACAGGCACAGCAGTGGCAGGCCAGCGGTGTTTGGCTGGTAGAGGCTTGTCACAATTCCATAGAACTATGATCTGAAAAGGATGGGTTTATTAGATGGCTGGGGTAGGCTGTATTTATGTAGAAGTCCAACTGAAAGCCTCTTCTTAGAGACAAAGAGAAAGAGGAGCTGGAGATCTCAGCAAGACAGAAAGGCAGACATCAAAACTGAATTTTAAAGTGAGTCCATTCCCACACAACCTCAGAACCTTAACACCCCAACAACTGGAGAGAGGACAGAAAGGATAACAAAAAAACAAAACCTGTGTCTGAGGATAGGGGAAAGCTGCAGGAAAAAGAATTTGAGGGTGGCTGGAGCTTAATAAAGCAGCTTCCTAAATTCTGGTATCTTATGATGGTGTGTGAGATAACAACTCTGATCAAATTAAATAAAAATGTATACTGAGCATCTGAACATGTGCTATGAACTTGCACTACACCAGGCAATGTGGGAGAAATAAAAGAATTCAAGCTAGAACTAGGATGAGCTCATGTTTTGCATTCTCTAGAATGGTTGCTGATTTTATAGACTTTATAATTTCCAATAAAGGCATTTAGTTAAAAAATGCATACTTCCTTATTGAATTCTTTCCTCATTTGTAAACCTTCTTGTATAAATTAATTCGCAAATCAGAAAAACCACTGTTCAAGTATGGGAGCAACACTGATTTGGAAAATATTGTTACCACAGACATAATCGTCTGCTCCCAATTTTATAATTAGTCATGGTTACTATGAAAAGTTGATGCTCCATGACACCACCAAGTCTGATTCTTCTACTGAAGCTTAGTTGTCTGGGTCCTCCGGCGGCTTCTGGGTTGTCACTTTATCATTTTGATATTTAAAAACAAAATCATATGCTTATATCTTCTTTACAGAATGTGTTGGTGTGTGTATAGATATATTTTTTTTAACCCTATACCAGTGCTAAGGTTTTCTTTCTGTAACCCACACCTCCTGTGCCAGATTTCACTTCAAAGAATTTCTAAGTAGACGAAAAGGCTGTAACGTGGCAGGGAGAATGAAAGGGAGCAGCAGGGTGACATTAGCATCCCGGGGAGCCTGGGGCATAACAGGTAAGGAGAGAGGAGTCTCTGGTCTGGAGCTGGAGCAGGCAGGGGCTGCTCTGTCAACTTCCCACTCACCTGGGCACAGTACTGGGACTTGGCTGCAGCCACAAGAAGCTTCAACACTGGCTGGGACTGAGAGACCAGGGGGGTCACCGCATGGATGACTGCAGTGAATTTGGAGGGGGGCTTTAAACCTGAAATAAAAAGGAGAGCAGAGCCTAATGAAGCGCTGGAAAACATGACTTAGAAAATTACTCCGCCTTGCTCCGCTGCCTCACGCCGGAGCAAGTGTTCCCTCCTGGATGATTTCTCCTTTGCTGCTTCTGTCCTGACAGGACAAAAACAAGAGGAAGGCTGCTGGCCAGCTACTGCGTGAGTCTAGAGACCTCAAGAAATTCCAGATCAATGTCCATTTCTAGGTTCTTGCTTTGACGTCTTTTGCCCCTCTTGGTGATGTTTCTGTGATGTTTTTTTGGCTTTTTAGGTACCCGGTGTCTAAATACACATACCACTCACCACCCTTCAGAGTGGTACTACTTCCGGTCACTTGCATCTTATGGATTTAATTAAATGTGCTAGCTCTCCCATGGTCTATGCATGTGTCTAATTTTTAATTATGTAATGAAAGGGTTCTGCCTAATAGCATTTCAAATAACTAGCTAGTGGGAAAAAAGGGGAAAGGAACAGCATCCGGGATCTGATTGTTGAGGTCTGAATCCCAGTTCAGCTACTTAGTCATGGTAGGACCTTGGAAAGATTACTTAACCCTCTGTTTCCACAGCTGGGAAACCAACCTGACAGTAACAGTGCCAAACTTATGGGATTGCACAAATTCAGTAAGTTTGGCTGGGTGCCGTGGCTCATGCCTGTGATCCCTGAAATTTGGGAGGCCAAGGCGGACGGATCACTTGAGGCCAAGCAGTTCGAGACTAGCCTGGCCAACCTGGCGAAATCCTGTCTCTAGTAAAATACAAAAATTAGCTGGGCATGGTGGTGTGTGCCTGTAGTCCCAGCTACTCGGGAGGCTGAGGCCGGAGAACTGCTTGAACTCGGAAGGCAGAGCTTGCAGTGAGCTGAGCTGGTGCCACTGCACTCCAGCCTGGGCAACATAGCAAGGCTCTGTCTTAGGGAAGAAAAAAAAGTTAATGCATACAAAGCACTTAGAACAGGACTTAGGAAATAACAGTTACTCAATATATGTCAGCAGCTGTCATTATCACCACCCTTACCATCATCATTATTATTTTGGAGAAGAAGCCTCCATACTCCCAGAATCTCTTCTTTCTGTAGCAGTGACATAGCTGAGAAAAAAAGTATGTGATGCAGACAGACGTTTGCCAGTTCCGAGCTCTGAAGCACACTGGGTTAAAAAGGATCATAGCTATGCAAAACAACCACCGTCACCAAAGAGAAGTGACATGGCTTCCCCCCAAGGAGTTTTCCCATAAGAACTCACTAAGAAATTAGAGACAGGTTAAGAGCCTTTTAAAACTTCATCGGTTTAGACCCACTAATTTGGCACTTTAGTGGCTTAACTGTGAACAACACAGTGCAAGGACATTCAAGTTAAGCTTTGATACTGATGGGATAAAGGTTGGAATTAGACTATATGTGTATTACAGGATTAAACAAAGAAGGTTTTGTAGAGAAAATTATATCATCCATCAGTAGCACTTTAATTGTATGTAAGAAACAAGTTAATCTTCCCAATATCTAGATACACATTCAAAGTTTTGCCAAATAAGAAAAATAAACGTGTCTGAGGGATTGCTTTTTTAACAGGAATGACAAATCATTGCTTTTAGATTTTCCTGCTTTTAGATTTTAGACAGAGTTAGTTAGCTCTCCTAACCCCATCTTATAGATGATGAGGCTTAAGAAGCATCATTTGCACACCTCTAATGTGCTAACTCCAAATGAAGATCTAAATATTGTACAAGAAATATACTGATATTCTTGTCAACCACTGCCTCAATCTGACAATTTCTAAATTCTAAATATGTTACCCAAATGTTGACTATTCACTGAATTAGAGATGGTTCCCGTAGCAGGTTGGGTTTGAATTAAAAGGTTCTTTGTCAATGGTTGATGCTTTAGGCCATGAATTTCTTTAGGTTTCATCTCCTCAGTTTCAAGCTAAACGTGTACAACTTAAAAAGGTGAGGGTATTAAGGAGAGCAACAGCACTGAGTGGAAAATCTTGTCCTTTTGCTGTATCAACTTGGAAGATGCTTTACTGTCTTAGGGTTTCTCAAGTATAGAATTGCAAATGAGGGGAAATGTTCGTGATGTTCATAACATGAGAGGGACTAGGGCTCCAAATACGTGAATGTCGAAGGCAATAACAGTAGCTGGTGTAGAGATTCATCCCTCTGCCATTCCCTTTTCCCTGTTGTGTTTAGACTAAAAACTGCTTGAAAGCAGAGATTGTATCTTATTTGACTTTTTATTTCTAGTACCCAGCAATACATTAGCATAGCACATAAAAGGAGCAGAACAAACTTTGGAAAAGTGAATAAATTTGTGCTTGTCATACATTCTTAGTTATTTCTCCTTTATTCTTATTCAGTTTTTCTTTGGTATGAAATAGAGATGTTGGGATTGTGGAAAAAAAATTGGGGACAGCTCTCCTAACTCCATCTTATATATGATGAGGCCTAACATGATAGCTAACCCATTGTCATGTTCAAAATGATCCATAATTTGGGGAGCCTATTTCTCAAAAAGAAATAACTCTACTAAATATGAAGCATAGCTGCACAGAAAAAGTTTTTTTTTTCTTTTTTTTTTTTTTTTCATCTTGCAATGCTCTGCTCTGTATTTGATCTTGTTATGTCACTTATAACAAGTCTCCAGAAAAAGCAATCTTCATTGCAGGGTGTTAGACGGGTCCCATTAGAATAGAAGAATAAAGGCCCTTAGTTCTGTATGACATCTTGTGGGTAAATAAGGGCAACTTCCTGAAGGAATCTCACTTACCTAAATTAGCATAGTAGTAAGGAAAATCTCCCAGATAAGATGAATACTGTGGTAGTACGAACAATCCTCCAGGATGTTTGTTCCATATTAAACTGTTACGTGATATGTGCTTGAATATTCTGTCCTGAATAATCTAGAAAACAAAAGCATAGCACACAGTGAGGATGAGATCCTGATGATATTTAGAAAGGATAATGTTCAATCCAAATTTGAAAGATGGTGGCACTCAGAGTAGTGACTCTACCCTCCCTCCCACTCTCAATCTCCAGATAAAAATGTCTACGAGACAGAATAATGGAGCAATGAAAAAGAGTAAGAGAAAGATATGAATTATAGCCAATCAAATTTCCTAATTAAACTCCAGTTAAACCATAAATTCTATCTTGTCTTTGTATAATAATGAGTCCATGCTCATTCCAAAACAGACTGTGTGCAACAGTTAGTCTTTCCCTGATGGTTAAGCATCTAAGAACTGGTCCCAGGCACCCATCAAGAAGATCTGTCCTCAGGGGACAGAGAGGTCAATGCAGACCATGTAGACACTGAACAGAAAGCATATTGAAGACATGACATATTCTAGAAGCTATTGAGGTTTTGAGCTGTTCCTTTAAGTAAAGAGTGAGATGTGTTTGCTGGCCATATTTTATTTTCCTTTCAAGGTCAACTGTAGGACTCTGCGTAATGGTTACTGAAGTTTTTCTATATTTCATCTCGTAGTGAGTTAACAATTGCTTAAAACATCCTACATAATAGGACAAGAACCATAGCATATGAAGACTAATAATAGCCAAGCTAGTTCATTAGTTTCTTTGGACTTTGGGACCTTGCAGATCATTAAATTCTACATTTAGAGTCGAACATTCTCCCATCCCAAATCATTTGTTAGTTGAATGTGATTAGTCTACTTTATAGCTTTCTCTCTGTGACTTTCAAACTCTTATAATTATAGCATCCACTCATTAGAATATGATTTGGCAAATAATTAACTTGGTATGGAATTTTATGTTTTCAGCAAAATTTTTTTTTACGTTAAAAAAGAAACATCCTGCCATAAGTCTTAAGAGGTTTAAGACCCAAATCACCCTTTTCCAGGTCTCCATTTAATTCAATGTGATTTTAAGTACAGACTATTTTAAATGGAGTTTTATTATTTGCTAAGGTTATTAACATGCGCATGTCATTCCACGTGGTGACTAGATAAGTCATAAAGTGGGCTACATTTATCTTTGTAAATCTCATGTTTATTTTCCTAATGACAGGGAAGGAGGATGCAAGGAGAAAATTCAGAAGAACTCAAATATCTTAGTTCAATGATTTTTGCGTTTTATCTTTCACCCAGATCAAAACTGCTAATTTTATACGGCTAGATAGAGGTTTCTAATTTGGCGGAAATTTTAGGAACCTAGTGAAAATATTTATTTTTACTTTTTGTGGTATGACAGGGATGTGTTAAAATGCTGTTGTCTTGGCATTAATTATGAGAAAATTGTCATAGTTGTGAAGGATATTTTTTACATGGTTAGCAATTTCACTTTGTACAACATTTATTCTTGTTTTTTATTATTTGTACTTTCCAAATGTACTGTCTATTTATTTCCCCATTATAGTTTCTCTTTAGAGCCTTTTTATTTATTTTTTTCTTTTCAAATTTATGTACCTTTTAGCATGTGGTCACTTAAATACGTTTGGATATCAAGACTGAAAATAAATTGACAATAGACAGCATTATAAATTGAAACTACAGACAAAACTCAGAGCTGTCACAAAATGGGTCATCATTCACATCAGGTCTTTGGGTGGTATGCTTGTCACTATCATAGACTATCTTTTTGGTTCTATATCACAATATTGTTATCTTTTAAAATTCAAGGTTATGATAATAAGATATAGCGCTCTTCTGAAATAACAACAAGCATTTTTTACTGTCTTCCAAGAGATCTTGACAGAAAGATATAGGACAGGTCTGAAAGCAACAGCAAATGTTGAATTTAACCTGGGTCAAGCAATTTGCCACCATTGTGTATTATTTTCCTCATTTGTAACAAAACAATAAAATAACATATTAATTATAACAACCTCTCAGAATTTAAGAATAGCTGCCTAAATTGTTAAGGCTTGATGTTTGCCTTTAAAAAGAAACTCATTCCTGTGCTCATTTTCTAGGCACTGGTTTTTCCATTTACTACATAGTTGTAATGGCATAGACATTATATATTACAGATATTTTTCCATTTAATAGTATTCATGATTTACTTATTCTTAATGACCAGTTCAGCAGTTTTTCCATGCAAACCAATGAACATATTTATGAATAAAATTTTTCACATTTAGGATTTTTTTTTTTTTAAACAGGGTCTTATTCAGTCACCTAGGGTGGAGTGCAGTGGTGCGATCATAGATCCCTGCAGCCTCGAACTCCTTGGACTCAAAGGATACTCCTGCCTCAGCCTCCTGAGTAGCTGGGACCACAGAAGATGGTCGCCACATTCAGCTAATTGTTTATTTTTATTTTTTGTAGAGATGAGGTCTCACTACGTTGCCCATGCTGGTCTTGAACTCTTGAGCTCAAGCAATCCTTTTTCCTCGGCCTCCCAAAGTGTTGGGACTATAGGTGTGAGCCACTGTGCCAGACCAGAATTGATTCTGTAGGACTTTGTTAAAGGGTAAAAATACTTTTAAGGTCATTCATAAGTATTGCCAAGTGTCTTTCTAAAAGGTATATATCCACTTGCCTTCTCAAAAGGATGAAGGAATATGGGTTTCATTTCACCCTATATAAAGATCATTTTTTTTTCCCTCTCCAATTCATCCTATCACTACAATGGACAGCTCCCAGAATCTTTTCATGACACTTGGTGCTTACTCTTTATTGTTGTGGAAGAAGACATCAGACTTAGAGGTTGGATGCTTCTTTGGCTATAAACAAAATTAATACACACATACACACACAAACACATAATACATGACTTTTTTCGTTATGGTCCCAGATGGCACTCTTGATAAGGACAATATTACTAATTGATGTGAATTCATAGGGAAGAATGACAGGCTCCTTATTTTTCTTTGTATGTATCCTCTGTTTTTCAACTAATGGACTATTGGTTACAGGTTACAGTCATTCTGTGTAGCCCTTCATCTTTTAACCAAAGCACTGTAGCCTGAGACACACAATGCCACCATATGCCACCTCACTTGAAGCCAAATCAATCTTCTATTTCCATTAGCCCATCGATTTTACAATATCATTGTATGATAACATCAGCAATACCATGGTTCGGATGTGCATGGTTAGATAACTGAGGAGGAAAATGGAGCATACTTCACAAAACTCCACTAACTATCTACCTTCCTAGCTACCACTGGCTCTTTTCAAATATTATTATAATCTCAAGCACTTTCTTTCACTCATCTTGATTATGACTAAGCTCCAGTGATTCAATCCTTAGTGCCAGGTTATTGTGCAATATTCTGACAAATAATGGAATCCATGAAGGAGCACTGTTTTTTCAGTGTCTTATCATTGTCCCCATTGTTACTTGCTAATTTGCACACACACAAAAAAACCCACTGAGCTCTACAGAGTCTAGCTTGATTAAATAGTTCCTTATTACCAAGATGCAGCATTAGAAAATTTCAATCAAACTAGAAAAACTAACAGAATCCTAGACACAGTTCTGTACAATGAAATGCACTAACAACTTGACTCTGCATTGAAGAGAAAATAAGATGTCCTATTTTCAATTGAGTCTAAGCACTCCACCTACAACTCTAGGGTTCATAACATCGGAAGACCCCATAATCCCATTCTCACGGCCCAGAATATAGCAAGCAAGGAGAAGGACCTAAAGTTCTAGAGTCTAAGTACATTAACATCCTGAGCCCAGGATCTTCAAATCTATGCTGCCTAGGGATAACTGTGAATTATTCTCATGCCTTAGTAGCTCCAGCAATGACTAAATGAAGTATATTATCTAAGTTCTAAGTCAAGTTCACATTTTTGATATGTGATACTTATTGTTCTTATAAACACATTCACTGTGTTTATTTGTGTCTGTGGATGGCATTTTCTTCTATTTCCCTGATTTTCTGATTATGTTGAATTCTGGGGTAATCTGAGTTATGAAGTATTTTGGAAAACTGGGTAGTACCTGTCATACAATTTGGTTGAGAGGTCAAACTGTTACAATTCAATCTTGGAACTGAATAAAGAGATTTGACAGTTGCTATAAATTTGAATGAAGTATATGGTTTTTAGTGTTTAAAAATAAAACTGTGTTGCTAAAAAAAAAAATCGCATGGTTTAAATACAAGGTGGAAAAGGCCTTTTTAGGTTCAGAGATGAAAGTAGCTTGATCTTACTTGGATCCTATTCTGATGAATGTAAGACATCCAACTGTTACAATAGAAAAATTGATCACTGCTAACTTAATAGGTGAGAGACCAGATCCATGCAATACACCATATGCAAAAGACATGTAATTAATGAGATACTATCTTTCATCTGGCAAATCAGCAAAGTGGTAGATGTGTATGTTTTAATTATGGATCTGTACAGCTGACAAGAGCATAGCAAAAGAGTGTCACGCCCAGACAGCTTGTGAGGCTCTAGGGGAATATAATTTTTTTGGATAATATTTTGGCAAAATATATTATAAGCTTTAGAAATGCCTAGAATCTTTGGCTCATTAAGATCACTTCAGGGACTCCATCCTAAAGAAATAGACAGTGATGTAGTTAAAGATACATGTAAAAAGTCGTTGATTGGATAAAGATACAGTTATCTGTAAAAAACAAATAAAAAGAATATTAATAGTAAATAATAGCATATTGGTTTAAGTAAACAGAAGTTCACGATAGGAATGCATATTAGGGTGAAAAAAATTAAAACACTGAAACATGGTCTGGACATATTAGAGGTAAACAACAAATAGGACAGAATAAAAAGGCCAGAAACAACCCAAAGATACGTAAACGTGGCATGAGAAAACACTGAAGAAAGAAATGTATTGGGGCTGGGCACAGTGGCTCACGCCTGTAATCCCAGCACTTTGGGAGGCCGAGGTGGGCGGATCACTTGAGGTCAGGAGTTTGAGAGCAGCTTAGCTAACATGGTGAAACCCCATCTCCGTGGCACATGCTTGTAATCCTAACTACTTGGGAGGCTGAGGCATAAGAAATACTTGAACCCAGGAAGTGGAGGTTGCAGTGAGCTGAGATAGTGCCACTGTACTCCAGCCTGGGGACAGAGTGAGACTCTGTCTCAAAAACAAAACAAAACAATCTTAACATTTGACATATTATTTGAGCTAGGACTTCAAATTCATGAAATTTATCCTAAGGAAGGAATATTGAATCTGCACAATAATTTGATGACCTTGAGATGATTTACTGCAATGATGTACATAAAGATAAAAAGCCAGAAACAACTGGAATCTACCCAAATGGGGGATTAAACAATCAGGCGATACCATAAATGGAATATTTTATAGTCATTAATTGTAGAAAAAATCTAACAACATGAGAAAATACTAACATTGTTAAGCAGAAAAACAGGTTATAATAAAAGTATACAAAGACTCCTTTTTAAAACTAAAACTACAATAAATTTTGAATTTATATATAAAAAATGAATATATATGTTTGTGTGGATATATATGTCAACAGTGGTTTTATATGAATGAATGATTTTGTATTTTATGCTGTGTTTTCTATAGTTTCTAAAATGAATGTATACTTCTTTAATAATCACTCCTGTAATCCCACCACTTTGGGCATTCAAAACCAGTCTGGGCAACATAATGAGATCTCGACTCCACAAAAAATTAAAAATTAGCCAGGCATAGTAGCTCATACCCATGTTCTCAGCTACTCAGAAGGCTGAGGTGGGAGGATTGCTTGAGGTCATTCCAGTCTTGTGACGGAGTGAGATCCTGTCTCAAAAAAAAGGCCAGGCATGGTGGCTCATGCCTGTAATCCCAGCATTTTGGGAGGCTGAGGCAGGTGGATTGCCTGAGGTCAGGAGTTCGAGATTAGCCTGGCCAACATAGTGAAACCCTGTCTCTACTAAAAATACAAATAATTAGCTGGGTGTAGTGGTAAGCGCCTGTAATCTCAGCTACTCGGGAGGCTGAGGCAGGAAAATTGCTTGAACCCGGAAGGTGGAGGTTGCAGTGAGCTGAGATGGTGCCACTGTATTCAAGCCCGGGCAACAAGAGCAAACTCCGTCTCAAAAAAAAAAAAAAAAAGGTGCTCTGTACTCCAAAAAGGGAGAAAAAATGACATTCAGCATTCTTTAAGAAGGGCCTATGAAGGATCTTAGATGGAGGTCAGGATTAAAAAAGCAAAGGATAACTCAAATATTCAAATCTGCTACAGTGTACAGAGGTGATGATGCTTGCAAGAAGGAAGGCCTTGGAAGTCACTATGATCCTGACTCCTCCATGGGGATGGGCCTGGGTCCTAAACAGCCCTTTTCATCCAGTTCCTGAATGAAAAATATATACACTGTACTTAAGAGGACACTGACCAGAGCTTTCCCTAAGGTGGGAGCAGGAGCCCAAGCTCAGCGTGGGTGGATACATGCCCCGGTGTGCCTGGAGCATGAACAGCACTGGCTCTGATACTCAGAATGGCAAGAAAGCAGCCATGTGGACCGAGCAGGGCAACTTCAGTTTCTTGGTATTACTCAGACTTTTCAGTGTAGGTTCCACATTATATTAGCTTTCAAAGCAGTCATCACTTTTCCAGAGTGAATTCTGCAAAGGGGAGGCCACAAATGCCTCCACCTCATTTTGGGAACACCTCAGAATCACCTCACTGAAGATCTCTGCTCTCCTTCCTGCAAACCTGTAATGCCTGAATGTGCAGTTTCCTGAATCTTTTCCCAGCTCTTTGTGCTTGTTTGGCGTAGCCTCAGGCCAATGCTACCTGCTCTATTTCCAAACGTTTTAATCCTCTCCATGCTTCCTTTTCCTTTTTCCATCCTGCCTGAATAAAAGCATCCTGAAGATGGGCATCCATCTGCCCAAAAGATTTTCTGCTTTCACAAATTTAACACTTTCTGTGCCACATGAGTACAATCCTGATTCTCCCCTTAACCCAACTTTGCCACAGTGATGCTGGTTGGCTGGCTTGCATAAGTCTTGAGAGTTAATTTTGCTGTTCCCCTAATGCCATCAAACTGTAGCACTCAGAAAGCTACTTATGCTTTTAGAAGGGTAGAGGATTTGCCCTTACTTGGCCATTATATATTTTTATCTTTTTTTTTGAGACAAAGTTTTGCTCTTGTTGCCCCAGCTGGAGTACAATGGCACAATCTCAGCTCACTGCAACTTGCACTTCCCAGGTTTAAGCTATTCTCCTGCCTCAGTCTCCCAAGTAGCTGGGATTACAAGCATGTGCTACCACGCCTGGCTAATTTTTTGTATTTTTAGTAGAGATGGGGTTTTACCATGTTGGCCAGGCTGGTCTCAAACTCCTGATCTCAGGTGATCCAACCTGCCTTGGCCTCCCAAAGTGCTGGGATTACAGGCGTGAGCCACTGTGTGAGCCATTATATATTTTTTTCTAAATGAACTCCAGATATATGTCTTCAAAGGATGCCATTGAGTGTAAATGACAAGAAGACAGTCATGACCCACATATCCCTGAAATGATGTAAGACATAGTCAATCTCTGTGTGAGCGAGTATAATTTCTCTCCATGTAGGTTTCCCCTGTGGAGTTTGCCAGGAATGAGAGTATTTTCTTGGGCATGGCAAAGCAGGTAAAAGAAGTTAACCAATATGTTGTCCAAGTTCAGGAATCTGGTTTTGCCCCATTGGACCAATCACACATCCCTAATAGCAAAACAGAAGGCTGAGAGAAGTGTATAAAGGACCATTATTCAAGCCCAAGAGCCAAGCGGTCTCACTTACCTCTAGTGTAGTTAATACAATCTTCTCAACTGAAGAAAAATAAGCCTCCCACAAGAATTGTGTCTGCTGTCTAAGTGCTAGGATTTTATCCTGATGAATAGACCTGATTGTAGAAGGAATCTGTAACACAAGGTGAACACATAGGAATTATAACTGTAAAACAAAGGATGCACTTGATCAAAATAACCCAACTGGGTTAGGCTTTTATTCTTTATAGCATTTGGCTTCTAGCATATAGATCTAAACATCATCAACTCCTAGGTTGAAATGACCCTAAGAACTGTGAGCTACAGACAGCACTTACTGGGAACCTGCCCCAATGGCCTCTGATGTATGAAAGTTACAGCTGATCTCTAAGATTCAGTAGCAGCTTATCAGTTGCTTAGGGTATTCTATAGTCACAATGGCTATTTCCAGAAATCCTCGACCTTGCACAGGAACAACCAAATTTTACAGAGGAGTAACTATACGTCATGGGGAAAGGCCAGAAGACTTTATCCCCCAAGCACTTCTATGACTTTTTATCCCAGAAACGATGAAATAGCTATAAAAGGACTTTTCAGAGAATGTCTATGAGCCTTCCCATCCAACCTGAAGCTAGGGTCCGCCACTTTTATGTGCACATACCTTCTCCCTCACTTTTGAGCCTTTCTGCTCCTATATCTCTCTTTCTGCCTTCAGCCTTACCCAAGTCTAACTGGATCTCTTAAATGTTCACATATATTTAGCCATCACTGCTCTCTTCTAGGGTATACAATTTTAAAGGAAGGACCTATATCTTGTTATCTTGCAACACATTTTCAGGCTAGCAGAATGGCTTTTATATAGTGGTTACTAAGAAATAGGAGGTAAATATAACCATCTGAAGACACCACAGGGATATTATTATTTTTAATGGTAGTATAGCTTAATGGTTAAGCACAGGTGCATGGTAGCCAGAAAGATCAAGGTAGGATTCTTGCCTCTACCATTTACTAGCAGTGCTTTCTTGAAGGAGTTAGCTGATTTCTCAAAGACTCCACTTCCTTACTTATAAAGTGGGGATCAAGTACTCGGGTTTTAATGAAGATCATATAAGTGCTTAGCACAGTGCCTAAAACATAGAAAACTTAATTAATATAGCTTATTATCACTACTGTTATCATTATTAATATCAGAGTGATAGTATTAAAAGTTGGACCCATTGCTTAATGTCTGCAAGGGAATCTGCTTGGAGCTGGAAATTTACTTCCTGAGTCTGGTAAGTTTTCTGGGCTTGTTCCCTGTTTTCACCTACAGTTCAAGGTCTATTTCATTTATGGAGTCTATACTCCTAAGGGGAGATTCCTTGTGATTAGCAATTGCCCTTTCATGCTCACCTCTTTCTGCATGCTTACCTCCATAACGTATGACTAATCTGACAGATATGGGAGTCTCGGCTAAAAGGAGCAATGCTCCGTTAGCCGCTTTAATAGTAAAGTTACCCATGGCATTTGACTAAGACTGTAACAGAGTTTCCATTAGAGGGGAAGGAAGTGTTAGCACATTTTTTTAATTCAACACTCCCCTTTGGAGGAGCCATAAAACAGCTTCACAGTAAGAACAGAAGGAAAAGCTAACTTAGTTTGGCAATGTCCAAAACTAGATACTAAATCTGTGTCTCAAAGTGGATACCTGGATTTGCAACACAGGATTGCAACAGAGGCAACAGGTAAAGGAGAAAAACTGGCAGACAAACATTAGCCTGTAATCAGAGCTCAAGGTCAAATGGAAATAAAACATTATTTGAGAAGGTAGAGAAATCATTCATATCATAGAACCTTTGTAAGTCCAAGGAAACTTATTTTTATTTACTCACTGAGAAAGTTACCTAGATTGCCAAAGAAAGATTAGAAAAAAATTATCCTGTTCAATGTTCATAACCATACCCTCTTCTAAATGTCAATGGTAATTGCTAAGAGTTATATAGGTTGGCATCACTGTTTTATCATGGCCACGAGGAAACAGTCTATTAGAAAAACGCATAAGGCTGGGTGCTGTGCCTCATGCCTGTAATCCCAGCTCATTGGGAGGCCGAGGCGGGCGGATCACGAGGTCAGGAGTTCAAGACCAGCCTAGCCAATGTGGTGAAACCCCATCTCTACTAAAAATACAAAAATTAGCCAGGCATGGTGGCGCATGCCTGTAGTCTCAGCTACTTGGGAGGCTGAGGCATAAGAATCACTTGAACCTGGGACGTGGAGGTTACAGTGAGCCATGTCACGCCACTAAACTCTAGCCTGGGTGACAGAGCAAGACTCTGTCTCAAAAAAAGAAAAATGCCTAAAGCTATCATTGCTATGTAGTCTCCAGAAAACTGAGTCTGCTGTGGTTATGAAAGGAGAAAAGGAGTATCACAGACTCACCTACCAATACGGTTCTCCCCTCTTAAATAAGATGCACCTTCATCTTACTACATCAAGTGCAGTGTATTCTATGGGTTTGTGATAGGATACAAGTGTCTGACAGCACTCTGCAAAGTGCTCCGGAAGACAACTCCAATTGATTGAAAAGACAGAGTTCCAAGTTTTAATGGCATTTGGCTATTGGTTATTAATCTGCTTGTCCTGAGAGACAGGTATGGGAAAGTGATAAATTAATTCCAATTTGGCTGGATTGTTTTGGAAGTTGCAGAGCTCAATGAAGCCTTAATAAAAGGTCACGTACGGTATCCAAGCAAATGGAATGCACCAGAATAGATACAAGAATGCCACATTAAGCTCTCTTGGTGACATGATGACAAGAATATATGCAAATAAAAACATCCGAGCTGTTCTAAAACAGGAAATGAAAAATTGTAACGTAACAAAAAACATTTCCCAAAGCAGACGTTTGGGCTGGATGCCAACTCTTTAAAACCATTGTTAATGATAGTACACAGTTGCTGCTCAATATGGAGGCAGCTGTGCAAAGATGGACTGAATATGAGAGGGAAAAGCACCAGTAAGTCTGGGTGGGGGAGGGTGACAAAAACCAAATCTCCAGAGTCAACCCCAAAAGTGGCTTCAGAAAGTGAAATGCCCATCAACTTTGGTGAAATGGTAGAAACTGGACAATCGGCCAGGTGCAGTGGCTCACACCTGTAATCCTAGCACTTTGGGAGGTCAAGGCAGGTGGATCATGAGGTCAGGAGTTCAAAACCAGCCTGGCCACCATGATGAAACCCCCATCTCTACTGAAAATACAAAAATTAGGTGGGTGTGGTGGCAGGCGCCCATAAACCCAGCTACTCGGGAGGCTGATGCAGAAGAATCGCTTAAGCCTGGGAGGCGGAGGTTGCAGCGAGCTAAGATCACACCATCATACTCCAACCTGGGCGACACGGTGAGACTCCATCTCAAAAAAAAAAAAAAAAGAAAGAAAGAAACTGGACAACCACAATTAAGTATCCTAAAATGCGCTCCTTTCTAAAGACAAACTTCCAACTTGTTCACATCAAATTCATGGGAGCACTGGTATATAAAAGGAGAAATTATAGATGGTGTTTTTTCTTTTTTTAAATTCCATTTATTTCCCAAATTTCTTTTAATGATTATGCATTATTTTTAAAATAACATTTTAATAAAGGAAGAAAAAGGCAACATGGACAAGCATGACATGTATCACTTTTGTTTGGCTTTTCATGAATAAATGATTTTGGCATACACTGTCTCTCAATGGGGAAAACTTCCTCGGTGTTTCTACAAGGACGTCTTTTCCTTAAGGAATCATAATGGGAAATCATTGGCATAAAAGCGGCCCTTTCACAAAAACACCAGACTCCTTTCTCAATGAACACCTAAGAAATTAAGTTGTATTCAGGGCAGAATAACTTAGTCTCCCAAAAAAATGGAATCTGCCATATTCTTCCTTTGTTTCTGAGGTCCTAGGAACCATGGAGATCACAAACTGAGTACCAGACAGAAGTAATGTTTCAGGAGCTGTGGTCAATTTCTTGTTGAAATGAACTAACCATTTGATGATATGTACAGCTGTATACTTGAGTCTTTTTTAGTTTACTTATAAAGACTAGCAATTTGACCTGTTAAACAGGACTAGTTCAAGTTAAGAAACTAAGGTTGTTGTATATATCTGGAGGCATCTGTTATTCAGCTTATTGTTTGAGTGGGTTTTTGGCACAATGAGGATAAACTTATGTGACCCACTTGAATGGCTAATCTAATAATGTTGACGTGAATTCTGTACTTAGTGAAATGTCAGATGAAAATAACTGATGAATAATTTTTTATATTAAAGGGATGGGAAAAGAACACATGAATTTGTTAATAAAGCACTATGATCGGCAAAAGAAAAAAAAAAGGTCTCTAGTGTACAATTAGTTCATCTGTCATTTTAGGGAAAGTGCTGCATTACTTCAATGTCAGCTAGCAGACCGGCCAGCAGCACAGAAGTAGAATCAACAACAGACTTAGAGGCCGGGTGTGGTGGCTCATGCCTGTAATCCCTGCACTTTGGAAGGCCAAGGCGGGTAGATCCACCTGAGGTCAGGAGTTCAAGACCAGCCTGGCCAACACGGTGAAACCCCGTCTCTACTAAAAATACAAAAATTAGCCAGGCATGGTGGTGGGTGCCTGTATTCCCAGACACTCGGGAGGCTAAGACAGGAGAATCGCTTGAACCTGGGAGGCGGAGGTTGCAGTGAGTTGAGATCACGCTACTGCACTCCACCCTGGGTGACAGAAAAAACTCCATCTCAAAAATAAAATAAAATAAAGACTTAGAAACTCAATTTAATAGATATCCAAAAAATAAAAAGGCAAAAACATTTTTTTAAAAATCTGCAAATATTTGTGGTAATTCAAAGATAAAGTGTATGGTGCAATGAAAGAAAAACACTAAGATATTCTATAATTTAGGAGAAAAGAGCATGGCAACTTGTGTTGATCCTAAAACAGAAATACACGAAGGGCTTTAGAAATCCTTAGTTAAAAAAAAAAAAAAATACATGATCATTCCGGCCCTCAGATTTCTCTGTGAGTATTGTATCCCCCTCCCTAGGCAGCTCTTGAGCAGTTCAAACTTTTATTAGGGGCCGCTCATTTAAATATACATCCTAAAGATAACACTCGCTCAGACACCCAGACTGGATCACTTGAGAAATGATAACACTAATTACAAGAACGAGCCCTAGAGACCTCTCTCTTTCTGAAAATTAATCTGAAGGCAAGTGCAGAAACAGAGGAAAGGAAAATGAAACAGCAGGGTAGGATAAAAACTCTCTGGTAATACTTCTAAAAATTCTGGTTATTGAAGGGGGTGGAGATCCACTTCTTGAAAATCAAAGCTTCCATTCTTTACCTGCAACTTCTTTTCAGAATATATTCTGGGGACCTGGGCAGATTTTGTTGGAAAGTGAACAATGTCATATTAAATGACTTCATATTCACCATGACACAGGCAATTTTCTCCTGATAAAATTTCTTTTATAGAGCTGACCTTTTGGATTCATCTTCTTTGAAAGTTTGGATGGGGGCAGCAATAATCTGCTGATGTGTTGAAGGCCACAGTCCCTTCCTTACCTGTAGTAACAATCTCTCATCGCCAATGACGGCAGCTTGGTTCCAATTAATCACTTCAGAGAATGGCAGCTCCCATCCATTGCTGAGCATCACAGGGACGCAGGCAGCCTAAGCAAAAAAGGGGACGTCGTGAATTTGAGGAAAGCGACAGCAGAAACTGTTCCAATCAGAGGTGAAATCAGTACAATTTCAATGACTGGCATTTTTGACACTGCATGAATCCTGGACTGCCTAGGCCGGAAGGAAAGGAAGCTTTTATGAGTTATCAAGTCACACCAAGGTTGTATGTACCTAGACTAGATTTTCATATTTGCAAGTCTTGCCCTAGAATGCTAAAACCCCATTTCTATTCTAGTATATGGTTTGGCTGACCTTACTTCCGTGGAGACGACTGGCCTTGCTGGAGAAGTTTCTACTGACGTAACAAAAGCTTGCACCAACAAAACTTGAGCATAAAACCAACCTTGAATATAAATGGTCCTGTCAGTGTAACTGCCATAAGTCCGTGGTGCAAGGTGGTTTACCCCAATGTCATGGGCAACAAAGAGCAGAATGGAGCTCAGCATTCCTATGCAGCGTTTTGTAGACTTAACCAGTATAGAGTGTTCACATTTCCCTTGCTCTGCAAACACCTAAAGCAGAACCTTGTTCCCTTCAATGGAGGAGTGATCTAAACCACAGTCATACAAGTTTACTGTCTGTGCCGGGAAATAGCCAGGAAACACTAGGTTAATGACAGAATACTGATTCCAAATAACTCATAATCCAAACCAGAGAACAATTTTTTTTTATGCAACATCCCAGGAGGCTACAAGAACATTCATGATGGCATTCTATGCAGAACGCACACGAGAGCACTTGGAAAAGACATTCCAGAGAGGCAACCTCTTCTGTGGGAGGACATGGCAGAACGATTTGCAGTTGAGCTGGCAGAGATAAGAAGTTATGAAGCACTGCAGCAAAAGCACGGCATGGTGTAGGGCACAGAGGAGGAAAGAACATAGCAGAAAGAGGTCGAGGAATGCAGGATGAGAGAAGGTGAGGGCATGCTTTCTCGTAGCAATCGAAGAAGGCTGGTTATAACTTCCAGATGGGAAACGTAGACGACTGTCTCAAGAGAACAGTGACACCATGCTGGGGATCATTCTCAAAATTTAAAGGAACTGAGAGACAGTGAGGATGCCGGCAGAAGAGACAATTTTGCTTTTAGGGAGTACCACAAATAAAGAGAAAGAGGGCCGGGCGCGGTGGCTCAAGCCTGTAATCCCAGCACTTTGGGAGGCCGAGGCGGGTGGATCACGAGGTCAAGAGATCGAGACCATCCTGGTCAACATGGTGAAACCCCGTTTCTACTAAAAATACAAAAAATTAGCTGGGCATGGTGGTGCGTGCCTGTAATCCCAGCTACTCAGGAGGCTGAGGCAGGAGAATTGCCTGAACCCAGGAGGCGGAGGTTGCGGTGAGCCAAGATCGCGCCATTGCACTCCAGCCTGGGTAACATGAGTGAAACTCTGTCTCAAAAAAAAAAAAAAAAAAAAAAAAAAGAGAAAGAGCTGGGCTGCTTTCTAGAGTCCAGCTAGGCTGCCTGATAGGCCAAGTTGGTAAAGAGATTTGCCTTCTGTTTGCAAACATGACCCGTTTAGTTTCTTACATCTAAAGTTACTAAGTCCCCTCTCCACCCCTCACTTTTCATTTAAAAATGTTTTAGATTCTCTTGAAAATAATTTCAGATCCTTAAGGGAAACCACACTTTCTCTTTAGCTTATCCCAGGAGAGGTGATAATGTTAAATTTACTTAATCTGGCTTCAGTCCTCAGCCCTATTCTAGGAAGGTTCCAGGGCCTCTTACCTGCAAAGCCTCCAGGAATCTGAAGGACCCAAGCCTGCGACCACGAGGAACCAGACAGAAAGTGGCATTGTGCAGCATTTCCCGATAATCATACCTAGAAAGAGAGGAGGAATAATCAGCAAATGAAGACCCGTTGGGAATGTGGGGATGTTGACCATAGGTGGGTGCCCACGTGCGTGAATTTACACAAAGCAACTCAGGAAAGCCACTAGCAGGCAGTGCTCACTTTTCCATTTCAAAGAAGGAGGTTGGGTTACTGCATGAAGAACAAACATGATTCATCATGTTGCACAAAAAAATTAGGATCCCTTTTGCAAGCAGTATATATAAAGACAAGTCTGATCGTTCTGGCAACCATTTGATTTGCCCAGTCCTTGGTCCCAAATCAGATTTTCGAGTCTTGATAAAATATGTTGCCCCATAGGCTTAAAAAGGAAAAAAAAAATACTGCTGCTTCTCCTTCTCCTTTAACAACATGGCATTTAGCAAAACTAAGACTGTATTGTTCCCCATTCCTTCAAAGCCATGCTGTAAAAAACGATCCAGAAAACCTCTATCACAAGCACAAAACAATATTTGTTTTCTCCTTCAAGATGGAGCTTCTACAGTTAACCAAGAACAGTCAGTTACCCAGGAAAAATATTCCTGTTTAAGAATGGCTGACATAACTTACAGGAAAAAGAGGAAGTGAGAGGGAAGGATGCTAGCCTAAGAGAGAGGAAAAAAAGAAAAACGAGAAAAGAAAAGAAGAAAAGAAAAGGAAAAAAAGCCCGGAAATAGTAGGGGGTACAGGAAACTGGTCTACAGAATAGATGAATCAATTTTTTTATTTTACTCAAATTCCATTTAACAGTATTACATTGCTTTTGCATTTTGAAAAAAAATACAAAATACGAATGTTACCTGTCTCCTTACACCAGTGAAGTTTAAAAAAGATAAAATGCATTTCATTTTGTTTACGACTGTTGCTTTTAAAGTGATTGCCATAAACATATTCCTACATAGACAGTTTCAAGTATATTATGAGTTTAAGAAAATTTGAGAAAGTAGAGATGGCTCATGTCCTGTAAAGGCCCTGATTCTTAGAGCCAAGATGAAATCACTCTCATTTTTCAAGAGCTCCCAGTGCTGAGCAGACAGGTGTGACTTTGACAGTAGCATATGTCACCACCATTTTCTGACTCTAATAGTCTAATTTAATCATAGCCTAAAGGCACTGAATTCCTCCCTCTTCTTTTTGGGATATTGGCATATATCTTTATATTTTTAAAGTCCACATCTATTTTTATATTCACATACAAACTAGGCATATGAGAGTAAGCCAATTTTCAATTATAAACCCGTCATTAAGAAGAGACATCATGCAAAGGACCATTTGCTTAAACAAGCGTGTACAACTAATTTGCACAAGAAAAGGTCACCGTGAATGGATTAAGATTATCTCCATTGAGAGTAAAAATTTTCTAAAACCCTTCCTGCATCAATTAAATTGCAAAATAGACATCAAAGTAAAAAAGATTTTTAAAAAGGCATGAATTTAGTTAAATAAAAAAATTATACATTAGATGGTAATGATTTCTTCTTCCTCACCAAACATAGCTGACAAATATCTTCAAGTTCAAATGTTGATAATGTCTGAATCTCTGCCTAATAGATGGAGAGGAGAGAAATGTGCACACACACACACTCTCAGAAAAATATATGCATAAAGTTTAAGCTGATTTTTTTTTAAAAGGTCAAATATACTTCAGACTACAGCAAAGTTTAATAAGTGCCCAGAATAGAAACCCCTGAGGGACTAGCAACGAAGGTCCTACATCCTCATCATTAGCCTACTAAAAATGTAAAACCCTATTAATGTTCTGCACTGTAACAAGTTTCAGAGTTGCTAGTTGCAGAATTTACTTTAGGGAGTGCGTGGAAGAAGAGGAAGGGCAGAAAACTTAGAGGAAAAATTCAAATGACAGTTTTACCGGGTTGCTGACTTTAAAATGGTTATATAGAAGGACTATGTGCTGATATAGCAAGCAAAGGAGTACATCGAAGCTTGTACTCCTGCACACAATAGGTCATATGAGATGTGAGAAGAATACCCTTGGCAGGAGTAGCTGTGAGACTTAACAAAACCCATGAGCTTTCTATCTGTTTCCTCATCTGCAAAATGAACTCGTTGGGCTAGATGACTACAGATTCAGTTTTAATATTTGGTTATTCTTTATCTTATCATTTTTAGGTAAGAAAGAGAAGCATCCTTTGAGACTATCCCACTACTTAGAAGATTTCCATACCATATATATATATATATTTATATATGTATATACATATATATATATAATATATATACACTTGTTTATATGCATATATACAGTACATATAGTATATATATTGTATATATATACACAATATATATATGCTATATATATATAGTACATATATATATACACACACACATATATGGGTATGGAATTGTGCATATATATGTATATATGTGCATATATAATTGTGCATATATATATGTGTATATATGTATATATGCACAATTCCATACCATATATGTGTGTATATATATCTGTTCATATGTATGCAGTGCATGTCTAACATACGTGTGTATTCACATAGAGACACACAGATACATACAGAACATATACACTCATACCTCAGAACAATGGTTTTCATTCAGATTTCTAAGCATACTAAGCCCATAAACCAGCCTCTCTTTTCTGCTCCCTGGACAGTGAGTCTATGAATAACTATCATGTTCTACCTGAAGGAAGAACGATGCCTCTCAAGTGGGCAGACAACGATTCTAGTTTGACCACGTGTTTGGTCCTCTCCCACTCAGTCCATTGTGATGCTCTTTCACACTCCACATCAACCTCCTTGCAGATGCTTAAATCTACTCATTTATTCATTCATTCTCTAAAGAAATGCTGTTTCAGACACTATCCTATTTCAACTGATGGAGTACAGAGAAGGGATTCCCTAGTTGCTGGAGCTATCAAGGCAGCACCTGACAATGAGAAAATGCTGATGAGATGAAAATTTAAGATTTAAACATCTCCTGGGAGTATTTGCATTATAAGAGGAGGTTATGGAAGGCCTGACTTCCAGAAGAAATACGAAGAACTCTGCGGACACTCTCCCCAGCAAAACAACAATTTAGTAACAATTGTAAAAACATTTTAAGTCTCTGCAAATTGTCCTAAGTGCATAACAACGAATAGAGAAACAGTAATTCAAGAAAATCTACCAAATTTTGGCAAGTACCCTGAGAGTCCGTGGCATCTGGGCCCTGACCTGTTCCATGACCAACCCCTACTAGCTCTTACAGGAGCTTTACTCTGGGGGAGTGCAGTCGGGAAGACTGGGCTCCCCATCCCTCCAGCTTCCATCAAGAAAGTGGAAAAAAGGCTACAGAAAGAGAAAATGGGCCTGGTGAGATGGCTCACACCTGTAATCCCAGAACTTTGGGAGGCCGAGGCGGGCAGATCACCGGAAGTCAGGAGTTCAAGACCAGCCTGGCCAACATGGTGAAACCTCATCTCTACTAAAAATACGAAATTAGTCAGGCATAGTGGTGTATACCTGTAATCCAGCTACTCAGGAGGCTCAGGCAGGAGAATTGCTTGAACCCAGGAGGCAGAGGTTGCAGTGACATTGCACTCCAGCCTGAGGAACAAGAGCGAAATTCTGTCTCCAAAAAAAAAAAAAAAGAATGTATTTGCCAATCATATATATGAAAAGGGACTTTCATCTAGAATACATAAAGAACTCTTCTGACTCAATAATAAAAAGACAAATAATCAAATTTTAAAAGAGGCTAAGGATTTGCATAAACGTTTTTCCAAAGAAGACACACAAAGTGCCGATAAACACATGAAAAGATATTCAACATCAATAGTCATTAGGGGGAAGCAAAACAAAATTACAATGAGATACCACTTTACACCCACTGGGACGGCTGTAAGCAAAAAGACAGATGAGAGCAAGGGCTGATGAGGATGCAGAGAGACTGGAACCCTTCATACATTTCTAGCAGGAAGGTAAAATGCAGCCACTTTGGAGAGTAGTTTGGCAGCTCTTTTTCAAACTAAAAATGGGTTTACCATATGACCCAGTAATTGCACTCTTGGGCATGTATCCCAGAGAAATGGAAACTTATTTTCACGCGGAAACTTGTCCACAAATGTTCACAGCAGTTTTGTCTGTAATAACCTCAAACTGGAAGCCACTCAAATGTCCTTCAACGTGTGAATGATTCAACACATTGTGGTACATCCATAGCTTAGAATACTTCTCAGCAATCAAGTGGAACAAACTATTGATACACACGACAACTTCAAGGAAATTATGCTGCATGAAAAATTCACCCTCAAAAGCAAACATTCTGTAGTATTCCTTCTATATGGCATTCATGAACACACATAATTATAGGGGTAAGGAACACTTAGAAGTTGCGGTTGGTTGGGGGTAGGGGAGAAAGACAAGGAGACTTGACAGGTCAAATGGGGAGACACGATGTTTCAAGATGGATTAATTCTCCTTTATGTCTTACATTTAGAAAAGTGAATTACATTATCACACACTACTTAAAAGAAACATATGAGATCCTAAGCAAGAAGGTAAGTAGGTAAGAGAGACAACTAATCCCAGATAATTTGCCGCTCTAATCAATAAATGGTTTTGCTACCCTTTTCAGATGGGCGTTAAGTTCCCCACTGTGTAGGGAAAGGTTGACAAAAGGTGGGGAGGGGTGGGGAAAATAAATATAGATATAAAGGATGACAAAAGGTAGGAGAGTTTTCACAAACTTCTATAAAGAAAAATGCAACAAAAATGGCATGACCTTGAATTTAACCTAGAAACCAGCACCACTCTATGGTCATAATACTTTTATCCTTAAAGCTGTATTGAACAATGTATGGGATGCACCCCATTTAAAGTGGACTATTTTAATGCACAGTTTAAATCCTCCCCCTCTGTATGAAACGCATGTTTGCTGGCAGTCATTCTGTGCAACTGGGAAAGAGATGGGGCACTGTGGCATAGTGCAGGGGTTCTCAACGTGTGTCCTTCCAACCAGCGGCAACATCT